CATCCCGCTCCTGGTAAAATGACTCCCACTCCCATCCCGCTCCTGTTTAAAATGACTCCCGCTCCTGTACCGCTCCCATGTATTTTTTTCTTCATTTAGTGTTTAGGTAATACATAGAATTTGATTTTATCTGCTCCCCGTCCTGTTTTAGACCAGCTGCTGAGTCCCTGCTTCCAGATTTTCTCCAGAAAATAAAAGACAGCAAATAAAAGAAAAACAGTACATAGTTCACACCATGTCTACAATAGTTTAATAAACCCAAAGAGCACATAAAGCTGCATTTTACTAATTTATTGTTGAGTAAACAATACATTTATAGTTTACATTTATAAACATTTATAGTTTTTTTTTATTACATGTTAACCATTTTCATCCATTATGCTCTTGCATAATGAGTCCATCTTAGTTATATGTTGCTGTGCAGGAACAAAAGTGCATCTACATTTTCTGGATTGAGGGTAGAACGCCTCTCCTCTATCAGTCTTCCCGCAACACTGAAGCTACGCTCAGAAGGAGTACTTGTTGCGGGGATAGCTAGCAGCCTCTTGGCAACTAGTACGAGCCCACCTGACATCTCCCGCCAAAAGTCAAGAAGAGACTGGAAACGTGTCAACTTAGTGTCACTCATGTATTGCAGCACCAACTGGCGACCCTGTGACTCCATATCACCACTGTCCTCCTTCCTCTCCTCCTCTTCTACACAACTTGCAAAGAAGTTATGCACCTCCATAGCTCCTTGCTCTGGGGGTGGACCTTCAGGAAAAAAGACAGATCTTTGTAGTCTAACATACTCATTTGTCTAACATACCTATATTAAACATTACCTATAAGGTAATCCTCATACCTGTGTGTGTCTCTCTAAATAAATGAAAATACATTTTGTCATTTGCTCTGCAAATGCTGTTGATGCTAGTGTTATTCACCCTCTCTCCACAAGGCCTCTCACTCTCTCCTCTGTCCCTGCCGTTTCTGTGAGTGCTGTCAGGGTGTTGATGACCTCCTCATACTCCTGACCGTTGAGAGTTTTCCTTAAGAAACTCCTCAGGCTAGGAGAGAGAGCTGTGGCTACCTTATGGTACAGGTGGACTTTGAATTTCATCTCCACTGCCTGGGCTAACTTCCCTTTCAGCTAGGGGAGGAGGAGCATGATGATACATGCAACATCACTGCACTGTGCTTATGTTTGCTACTTGAATGACCACCAACTAAATGAAAATCAGAAATGTATTGTATTACCTCTTTTACAATCACACTGTCTCCATCCTGGATCGACAAACCCCTCAGTAGAGTAGCCTTGGTCGGGAGGACAAGGTGAAGGGTAGGTGTCTGATCAGTGGAGAGATGTCTGGTAGCCTCTTCGAAAGGTTTCAGGAGTTGGATGATGTCTTCAAGAAGTTCGCAGTCTATGTTGTTGAGGTAACGGAGCTCGTTTCGGTGAAGCAGGATGTCATGCAGCTTCCCAGATCTCAGAGCATCATTAACAGATTGGAGCATTGCTAGTCTGGTATTCCACCTCGTCTCCACAGATTGCTTCAGTGACTGGTCCAGTGCTTTTTGCAACCTAAAATATAAAGAGAGTGCACAAGAAAAATAGATGTTACAGTGACATAAATTCCAATTCATTGGCCTCTCTTTTGGGAAAACAACATTTATTAAAAAAAAAAGAGATTTAGTTAAAATTGAGTAAAAAAAAAAAAACACGACCTGTGCAGGTATAAATTACAGTAGCTTCTTTTTATTTATTTCACCTTAATTTCTTTCAAATTATATAAGCAGCTTTACCAGGAAGACATAAGATTTTATGCTATCTTACCCTGCTCTTTTGAAGTGTGTGACACAAGGGTCTTTGTGTCCTTAAACAGCTTGATGATGCTGCTGTGCACTGGGTTGTCCTCGTCCAAGTGGTCAAATACATGTTTTAAGATTAAGTTGATATTATGGCCGGCACAGGAGAGTCGGACATAATCCTTGAGTGCTGCAACCACATTTGAGCCATTATCCGTTACAAAAGCGGTGTCGTTGCTCAGGATGCCAAATTCCTGTGTGAGGTTAAAAAAAAAAAAAAAAATTTAAAAAAGACTAACACAAAAGCTTTGCAA